CCGCCAGGAGGCCATGACCTCAATCCAGCATGGAGTGGGTGATGAGGAACATCCCCGGCAGGGGATTGGATCTGGGTCCTTCCAGGGCCTCAGCCTCCTTGCTGCTCACAGCTCCTCTTGTCCAAGTGACCCCCGGGCTTAGGCCATCAAGAGGGAGCTCTACAGGCCTGGGTTTCGGCCTCAGCCTCTCAGGGTAATCAGGAGGCCCTGAGCCAGTGCAGTGGGATACCACTTGAGGGGTTTGTGCGCCTGGCAGCGCTTCCTCCTCACTTAGGAAGGCAAAGGGCCATGGTGCCAGTCCTGTGGCTGGCAGAAGGCAAGAGAGAGGGGTTTCTTGTGCGAGAGGACCGGGCAAGCCCACTGCGTGCAGCCTGGGCCACTGAGTCCTGCTCCCCTCAGCAAAGGCCAGGCCAAGGGCCTGTATCCCAGGCACTGTCACTCCGAGGAGGCCAGCAGGCCAGCTCGGGAAATGCTCGTGGAGACAGCCTCCCACAAGGCCCCCACAGCCCAGGGACGGCTCCCCTCCAGGATGCTCTGCTCTACAGCCAGGACCAGCAAGGGTGTGGACAGAGGGCCCAGACTGACCCAGACCCCGCACTGTAGGCCACAGCCCACATGGGGTTGCCTCGAGTGACCACAGCCTCACCTGCTGCCTCTTCATCTGCAGGACTGCCTGGTCTGCAATGGGCCCAGCCGAACCCATGAGCTCCCAGACAACCCCGACCACCAGGGCGTGGCAAAGGGCTGGATGCCTGTATCCCACATCCTGAGGGGCAGTAAGGGCCCCGCCTACACCTCGCCCCACCCGTGCCTCCAAAAAGGCCCCAAGCCCTCGGCACTGCCCGCTCTGCCACGCCCATCCCACCTTCCTCCATTTGGCCCCACCCTACCTGCCACAGCCCCACCCACTTCCATTTGGCCCCGCCTCTCTTACCAGGACAGCCCCCTGCCCATCTCCATTTGGCCCCACCCTCCTCGCCTCAGCCCATCTCCACTTTTGGGCCCCCACCCCTCCTGTAAGTGCCAGCCCTCCCACCCACTTTCATTTGGCTCCTCACTTCCCACCACAGCCCCACTCATCTCCATTTGGCTCCACCCCTCTTGCCTCAGCTCCGCCCTCGCCAACATCTCTATTTGGCTCCCACCCCCCGCTGCTCCTCGGCCCCACCCCATGTGTTTGGCTCCCATGACTCCCTGCCTGTTGCAGGCCTTGCGCATCCGCCTCCTGGCATGGCGCTGCGGCACCTCGCCTCTCCCAAGCTGGCCTCTGGGTGGGAGGCCAGTGTGCTGGGTCCGCTGGAGAACATGGTAGGTGCCCCGTCAGGTGTCCACGCCTTGGCCAGGGCCTCTGAGGAGGGCGCGGTGGGCCCTGCCCTAGGGGTCTAACCTCTTCAACCTTTAGGACACTGATGTCCCAGCCCCAGAGGTGCTGACCGGGTCCACTGCTGGGGCCTCGTGGGCCTGTGCCGCAGAGGGAGCCCCTGAATTGCTTTGCTTGGTGAGCACCTGCTCAGGAATGGTTGGGTCTGGCAGGGTCCCTTGCGGTGGTGAGGCATCCTGGACCAGCACTGGGAGCAGCTCGGCCAGCGGTGATGCGGGACACAGCCCGCCTGGTGACGTTGTTATCGGGAGTGTAGCTGCAGCGGTTCCAGACTCCCAGTCCGAGTGGGTGGGGGTGGGGAGACCTCGCCAACCTGGCTGGGGCGTTTGAGGGACTGGACCTGGACCTCTCCCTGGTGGTGTGGATTCTCTCCCGTACTCCACCGTCACCCCTGAACGCCCTCACCGTTCACTGGTCCAGGTGATTGAAAGCAACAGCACAGCTGTGATCAACACACAAGCCGAGGGCACTCCTGAGCCCCCAGGCCTGTCCAGCCTCGGCCCTTCCGTGGCTAAGGAATGGGCCCCCTCACACACCGTGAAATGCCAGCACCCAGTGCACTGTGCAGAGCACCTGGGCACCAGGTGAATTTGTCCCCTGAAACGCCAGCCAGGCCCAGGCACTTTCCAGGGGGTCAAGCTGGAACCTGTGATGGGAGGTGTCCAGAGAATTGCAGAATGTCGGTGGCACTGCTAATGCCTGTGGGTGCCACCTCGGTGGGGGGTGGTTTACTCTGTTCCAGCCCAGCTTTCTTGGAGACCGCCCACCCAGGGTCCCACAGGGATGTGCACTGTGGCCATGAGTATCCCCTCCTGCTCCCAGGAATATCTACAGGGGACAGAGGGCCACCCGAGTGCTGACTCCAGAAGAGGCTGGAGCTGTGGATGTCGAGATGCTCACAGGCACCTCAGCCACTGCTGCTCTGGGCACGAGCCTGCTCTGTGGTGTGCGTCCTGAGTTTCACTGCTGTGTCCTCCAGGCCCAGCTGCCCGAAAAGCTGTGTGGATGTGGTGGTGCCACCCAGCTGCCCAGGCACAAGCCTGTGTGGCCCAGGTAAGCTTACTTCTGCCCCAAGCAGATTCCAGATCGTCACTGAGCCACTGGCGTAGGTGCTTTGTGTCCCTCCCCCGGTGACAAGGACAGTGCTCATCTGCACCCAAGTGGGCCAGGGAGTGGACAGGGCGGTGTGAGGACTGTGGAGCTTGGGACAGCTGAACCCTCCTTCCTGGCGGGTGGCTCTGAGCATCGGCTCAGTGAGGAGACTGGCCTGGCACAGGGCTGGGAGCAGAGGCAGGAGCTGAGAACAGAAAGGTGCTAGGAAGTGGGTCTGGGGGAGTGGCCCATGAGCTCAGCTTCTTTCATTCTCAACGGGGCAGTCCTGGCTCTAGGGGCCTTTGGGCAAAGCCCGAGACATTTTTGCTGGTCCGTGCTCGGCAGAGGTAGCTGCTGGCGCCTGTGCGTGGAGTGGGATGTTGCCAGAGGATGCCTGTGCTGTGCGCCACAGGCAGGCCGGTGGTGCATCGGAGGTTCTGGGAGGTTGCAGAAGGGACTGCCTGGGGGCAGCTGGACGTCGGAGGTCGAGGCTGGTGGGCAAAGTTTCGCGGAGCAGCCAGGAGAGGGAGGACAGAGTGAGAAGGTGCAAGGTCCTCTCCTTGGCAGCCCTTGGGGTGGTCTCCAGTGGGGCCATGGTGGACTGTGAAGGAGATGCGCAGTGTCAACCTCCAGCAAGGGCCTTGGCACTCTCATCCTGGGCGTCCAGCCCTCCCATGATGGAAGAACCCAGAGGGGCTGCTCCTGGGGACCCAGGGGCCTTGTGAAGAGGGCATGGCTTAAAGACAGGAGGCTCAGGTAACAGTGAGCCTCGGCGTGGGGGGTCCGAGGCTGGGCATGGGGGCCCGAGGCTGGGTGTGGGAGTTGGGGAGGCTGCAGGAAGGCAGTGGTGACATCTGAGGCAAGCGGCGAGGAGGAGAGGGTGGCACCGCTCTGAGGGAAATTGCAGGGACTGGGAGGAAACAGAGCACCTTGGGGCCCCCTCATGCTCTGATGCTGAAGCCCTGGTGGCCAGGTGAAAACCACCCACTCACACTCCCCCATGGCAGCAAGAGTGCTGGGGGCGTGGGCGCCTCCTGTGAGGGGTCCTAGGATTTCAGGCACTGCGTGCTGGGGGCGTGTGTGGGCGTCTCTGTGAGGGGTCCTGAAACATGTGCACTGCGTGCTGGGGGCGTATGCCTCCCAAAAGAGGTCCGGTACTTCAGGCACTGCGGTACAAGGCGCGCGTCTCCTGTGAGGGGTCCGTGGTACCTCAGGCACCGCGTGCTGGGGCGTGGCGCCTCCTGTGAGGGGTCCTGTACCTCAGCACCCGGCGTGCTGGGGGCGTGGCGCCTCTGTGAGGGGTCCTGTACCTCAGGCACTGCGCGGCTGGGGCGTGGCGCTCCCCTGTGAGGGGTCCTGTACCTCGGTGCAATCACTGCGCGGCTGGGGCGGGCGTCCTCTGTGAGGAGAGACCCCCAGGCACTCCTGCGTGCTGGGGCGTGGCGTCTCCTGTGAGGGGAGACTCAGGCACTGAGTGCTGGGGCGTGCGTCTCCTGTGAGGGGAGACCCCAGGCACCTGCGTGCTGGGGGCGTGGCGCCTCCTGGGTGAGGGGTCCTGTTTCAGGCACCGCGTGCTGGGGGCGTGGGCGTCCTGTGAGGGGTCCTGTACCTCAGGCACTGCGTGCTGGGGGCGTGGCGTCCTGGGTGAGGGGTCCTGTACCTCAGGCACTGCGTGCTGGGGCGTGGCGTCTCCCGTGAGGGGTCCTTGTACCTCAGGCACTGCGTGCTGGCGTGGCGTCTCCTGTGAGGGGTCCTGTACTCCCCAGGCACTGCGTGCTGGGGCGTGGCGCCTCCCGTGAGGGGTCCTGTACCTCAGGGCACTGCGTGCTGGGGCGTGGGCGTCTCCTGGGTGAGGGGAGACTCCCAGGCACTCGCGGCTGGGGCGCGGGCGTCTCCTGTGAGGAGACCTCAGGCACTGGGAGTGCTGGGGGCGGGCGTTCCCCTGTGAGGGAGACTCCCAGGCACTGCGTGGCTGGGGGCGTGTGGCGTCTCCCTGTGAGGGGTCCTGTACCCCCAGGCACTGCGTGCTGGGGGCGTGGCGTCTCTGTGAGGGGTCCTGTACCCCAGGCACTCCGTGCTGGGGGCGTGGGCGTTCCTGTGAGGGTCCAGCCTCAGGCACTGCGTGCTGGGGCGTGGCGTCTCCTGTGAGGGGTCCTGTACCCCAGGCACTGCGTGCTGGGGGCGTGGCGCCTCCCTGTGAGGGTCCTGTACTCCCCAGGCACCCGCGCATGGGGGCGTGGGGCGTCTCCCGTGAGGTCCTGTACCTCAGGCACTGCGTGCTGGGGGCGTGGCGTCTCCTGTGAGGGGAGGACCTCAGGCACCTCGCGCAAGGGCGTGGCGCCTCCTGTGAGGGGAGACCCCAGGCACCCAGGCGCTGGGGGCGTGCGCCTCCTGTGAGGAGACCTCAGGCACTGCGTGCTGGGGCGTGGCGCCTCCCTGTGAGGGGTCCTTGTACCTCAGGCACCCGCGTGCTGGGGGGCGTGGCGTCTCCTGTGAGGGGTCCTGTACCTCAGGCATCGCGCATGGGGGGCGTGGCGTCTCCTGTGAGGGGTCCTGTACCTCAGGCACTGCGTGCTGGGGGCGTGGCGTCTCCTGTGAGGGGAGACCTCAGGCACTGCGTGCTGGGGCGTGGGCGCCTCCTGTGAGGAGACCTCAGGCACTGAGTGCTGGGGCGTGATGCCTCCTGTGAGGAGACCCCAGGCACTGCGTGCTGGGGCGCGCCCCTGTGAGGGGTCCCTGTACCTCAGGCACTGCGTGCTGGGGGCGTGGCGTCTCCTGTGAGGGGTCCTGTACCTCAGGCACTGAGTGCTGGGGGCGTGGCGTCTCCTGTGAGGGGTCCTGTACCTCAGGGCACTGGGCGCGGCTGGGGGCGTGGCGCTCCCGGGGTGAGGGGAGACCTCAGGCACTGCGTGCTGGGGGCGTGGCGTTCCTGTGAGGGAGACCTCAGGCACTGAGTGTGGGGGGCGCTAAGGCCTCCCTGTGAGGTCCTGTACCTCAGGCACTGCGTGGCTGGGGGCGTGGCGCCTCCCTGTGAGGGGAGACCTCAGGCACTGCGTGCTGGGGGCGTGGCGTCTCCTGTGAGGAGACCTCCTCAGGCACTGCGTGCTGGGGCGGGCGTCTCCCTGTGAGGGGTCCTGTACCTCAGGCACTGCGTGCGCTGGGGGCGTGTGTGGCGCTCCTGTGAGGAGACCTCAGGCCGCGCCTGCTGGGGGCGGGCGTCCCCGTGAGGGAGACCTCAGGCACTGCGTGCTGGGGGCGTGGCTATCTCTCGTGAGGTCTTGTACCTCAGGCACCTGAGTGCTGGGGCTGGGCGTCTCCTGTGAGGGGTCCTGTACCTCAGGCACTGAGTGCTGGGGGCGTGGCGTCTCCTGTGAGGGGTCCTGTACCTTCAGGGCACTGCGTGCTGGGGGCGTGGCGCCTCCTGTGAGGGAGACCTCAGGCACCGCGTGCTGGGGCGTGGGCGTCTCCCCTGTGAGGGGTCCTACCTCAGGCACTGCGTGCTGGGGGCGCGGGCGCCTCCTGTGAGGGGAGACCTCAGGCACTGCGTGCTGGGGCGTGGCGCTTCTTCCTGTGAGGAGACCCCAGGCACTGCGTGCTGTGGGGCGTGGCGCTTCCTGTGAGGGGTCCTGTACCTCAGGCACTGAGTGCTGGGGGCGTGGCGTCTCCTGTGAGGGGTCCTGTACCTCAGGCACTGAGTGCTGGGGGCGTGGCGTCTCCCGTGAGGGGTCCTTGTACCTCAGGCACTGCGTGCTGGGCGGGTCTCCTGTGAGGTGGGACCTCAGGCACTGCGTGCTGGGGGCGTGTGTGGCTCCCGGAGGGGTCCTGTACCCTCAGGCACTGCGTGCTGGGGCGTGGGCGTCTCCTGTGAGGGGTCCTGTACCTCAGGCACTGCGTGCTGGGGGCGTGGCGTCTCCTGTGAGGGGAGACCTCAGGCACTGAGTGCTGGGGGCGTGGCGTCTCCTGTGAGGGGAGACCCAGGCACCGGCTGGGGCCGGGGCCTCCTGTGAGGAGACTCCAGGCACTGCGTGGGGCGCGCGCTCCTGTGAGGGGGGAGACCTCAGGCACTGCGTGGGCTGGGGCGCGCGCCTCCCGTGAGGGGAGGACCCCAGGCACTGCGTGCTGGGGCGTGGGCGCTCCCTGTGAGGAGACCCCAGGCACTGCGTGCTGGGGCGTGGCGTCTCCTGTGAGGGGTCCTGTACCCCAGGCACCCGCGTGGGCTGGGGGCGTGGCGTCCTGTGAGGGGTCCTGTACCTCAGGCACTGCGTGCTGGGGCGTGGCGTCCCTGTGAGGGGTCCTGTACCCTCAGGCACTGGAGTGCTGGGGGGCGTGGGCGTCTCCTGTGAGGGGTCCTGTACCTCAGGCACCGCGTGCTGGGGCGTGGCGTCTCCTGTGAGGGGAGACCCCCAGGCACTGGAGTGCTGGGGGCGTGGCGCTCCTGTGAGGGGAGACCTCAGGCACGGAGTGCTGGGGCCGTGGGCGCTCCTGTGAGGGAGACTCAGGCACTGCGTGCTGGGGGCGCGCGCCTCCTGTGAGGAGACCTCAGGCACCGCGTGCTGGGGCGCGGCGCCTCCTGTGAGGGGAGGGACCTCAGGCACTGCGTGCTGGGGGGCGGAAGGTCGCTCCCCAGAGGAGACCTCAGGCACTGCGTGCTGGGGGCGTGGCGCTCCTGTGAGGGGTCCCAGACCTCAGGCACTGCGTGCTGGGGCTGGGCGTCTCCTGTGGGTGAGGGGAGATCACCTCAGGCACTGCGTGCTGGGGCGCGGCGTTCCTGTGAGGGGTCGTGCACTCTGTGGCACTGCGTGGGCGCAGGCAGCTATGCAGCAGTCATGGTGCCCATGGAGGGGCCAGGCCAGCAGGTCGTGAGTTCCTAGGGCCGAGGTGGCCCCATGTACGGGCGCAGGGTGGGAACCGTCAGGCGCGTGTGGAGAGGGGCCAGGCCTCGGTGGTGCTGGATGCACTTCTCCCTGTGTACGGCCCCCACCATTGGCAGCTCTCAGAGAAGCCCGTCACGTCTCCGCTCGGGAGGCAGGGCATTTCTGGGGACAGCGCAGAGCTGGTGTTGGGCTCCCCTGCCGGGACTCCATTCCTCAGCCTCTGGGGCAAGAGACTCTCAGGTCATGAGCCTTCACTGAGGTCCGCCTTAGGAGCCCTGTGCCAGGAGATGCTGGAGACAGGCTGCGCCAGTGTGCTGGGAGAAACGCCCCGCCCCAATGAGAGAGGACTGAGTGGGTGGGCTTCCATTCTCCCAAGAGGTGCATCCGCAGAGTGGCCCCTGTCACAACCGCGCGGCCCAGGCCCACTCTCCAGCGCGGATCTCAGGAGCCGCACCGTGCCAGTTCGTATTCAGGTCATCCGTGAGGAAGGTCGCGCTGCAGGCCACCCGTGGCTCACCAGCATCAGCACTGTAGCCAGCATCCAGCGTGTGTCTGCTCAGCTCTAGGCTAAGTGTTGGAGATACTTGGAAAGTCGAGGGGTAAGAGTCAAGTCCTGTCCTTAAAGGCACCCTGCTGTGGCAGAAATGAGGCTTCAGCACTGCCTGGGTGGGAATGAGGCTTGCCTGAGGTGGATCCCCAGGAGAAACTCCCCGTGGAGGGGCCAGGTGTGGGAGGTGACAAGACGGACCAAAGGTCAGGAATCAGCTTGGGGCAGGAGGCTGCAAGTTGCTGGGGGTGGGCCTGTCCTGCCTGGACCTGCCAGAGGGAACACTGCATGCAGCATGCTCCAGGCATTGCAGGTGGTCCTGGGAGGCCGTGGGGGTCCTGGGAGGCCATGGGGGGTTGTGGGGTCCTTGGGAGGCCGTGGGGTCCTGGGAGGCCGTGGGGGTCCTGGGGGGCCGTGGGGTCCTGGGAGGCCGTGGGGGGTCCCTGGGGAGGAGGCCGGCCGTGGTGGGGGTCCTGGGAGGCCGTGGGGGGTCCTGGAGGCCTAGGGCCATGGGGAGGTTCCCTGGGGAGGCCGTGGGGTTCCTGGGGAGGCCTTGGGGGTCCTGGGAGGCCAAGTGGGGCAGTGCATTGCAGTGGGGGTTCTTGAAGAGTCCGTGGGCGAGAGCTGGTGGTGGAAGCTGGGCCCATCCTCCAGTCCTGCAGAGCACAAGCCCCCACCACAGGCCTGTTCATTCCGGATGCTGCTGCCTACCACTTTCTGGAGCTCGCAGTGTGGAGTGCTCAGGGCCAGGGTGCTCTGTGTGGAGTGCACAGTGTGCAGTGCTCAGGGCCCCGCCACGCTCCCTGGGGTGTCCTTGCTCACCGCCTGCCCACCCTCCTAAGAACACGTTTGTGTTAGTGTCCGGAGGGAAGTTACCTCACCAACTCAGAGAATCATTCCCAGAGACTCCAGCTGGTGATTTCCCATGGCTGACTTGCCTGTTCTCTCTGCCCCACGAGGCTGCTACAGGGCACTGGAATGGGCGGATCGAGCGCACGCTGAAGCAAACCTGCTGTGGGAACGGAACCCCCTCCCAGCCTACAATGGCTCCGAGTGAGAAGTTGGGAAGCCTGCCCGGCTGCCCTGCTCCCCTCTCTCTCACAGCTCCAGCTGTGGGAGAAACTGTGGGAGTTGCTGTCTGTGTCCCCACCTTGCCCCAGAGCCACTGTCCACTGGGGGAATGGCCCCTCGAGCCCCTCTTCGAGTCCTCTGGCCTCCATTCGGGACAGCTCTGTGGTGAGGGCTGCTCCACCCCCCAGCCACTTTTGCTTTCGTATTCCGGCCTGAGATCCCCTTCAGGGTGCTCGGGGTGTCCCTGTGGGGCCTTATGCACACAGGCTTCCCACGGCTCTGCTCTCCCACAGGCCGCGCTGGCCGGGGTGCGCCATTCCCCATGAACAGAAGCTCAGGGACCCCCGGGCGGCCACATCCCGGTAAGTCTCGCGAGGCCAAGTGGCCGCCTGCCGGTGTCCTGGGGGCTGGGGGCTGTCAGGAGCTGTGCAGACCCCGACCACTGACGCGCCACAGCAGGCTCAGGTCTGCAAAACAGGGCCAGTGGAGAAGTGCAGCCCCTGCGACTCAGTCAGCCACTGGGTGGGGGTGTGGGGGCACGCCAGGCTCCACCACATCTCAAAGTGGGCCGTAGCTAGGGAGAGGCCCTCACGGCCACACTGCACCCTCTCAGGGTCACGCGGCTCACAGCCACACGCTCTCAGGGCCTCACACTCACGGCTCAATGCCACACCGTGACGCTTTCAGGTTCACACGGCTCACAGCCACACCTCAGGTTCACACTCTCACAGCCTCACGGCCACACCGTGCACTCTCAGGTTCACACTCACGGCTCATGGCCACACCGCGCACTCTCAGGTTCACGCTCCCGGCTCATGGCCACTCTGCGCACTCTCAGGTTTACACTCACGGCTCACGGCCACTCGCGCACTCTCAGGTTCACACACGACTCACGGCCACACGCTCTCAGGCTCACACTCCTGGCTCACGGCTGGGCCACCACACACTCTCAGGTTCACACTCATGGCTCATGCACACTCCTCTCAGGTTCACACTCATGGCCACACTCCACACACTCTCAGGCTCACACTCCCGGCTCACGGCCACACCGCACTCTCCCTCAGGTTCACACTCACGGCTCACGGCCACACCACATGCATTCCTCAGGTTCACGCCACGACCTCACGCCACACCGCACACCTCAGGTTCACAGTCACGGCTACACACCACACGCCTCAGGCTCACACCCCGGCTCACGGTCACACCACATGCTCTCAGGTTCACACTCACGGTTCACGGCCACACTGCACGCTCTCAGGTTCACACTCATGGCTCACGGCCACACCCTCTCAGGTTCACACTTATGGCCACACCACACACTCTCAGGTTCACACTCATGGCTCATGGCCACACCGCACACGCTCAGGTTCACGCTCATGGCCACACCACATGCTCTCAGGTTCACACTCATGGCTCATGGCCACCCCTTCAGGTTCACACTCATGGCCACACCACACACTCTCAGGTTCACACTCATGGCTCACGGCCACACTGCACTCTCGTTTACAGTCCTCGGCCACACCGCACATGCTCAGGTTCACACTCCCGGCTCATGGCCACACCGCACATGCTCAGGTTCACGCTCACGGCTCACGGCCACACCGCACACACTCAGGCTCATACCTCATGGCTTCACGGGTGCCACACCGCACACGCCTTCAGGTTCACGCCATGGCCACACCATATGCTCTTCAGGTTCACACTCATGGCTCATGGCCACACTTTCTCAGGTTCACACTCATGGCCACCACACACTTTCAGGTTCACAC